GAAGAAAATGAGAAAATATCGATCAAGTGATGCTAAGTATCGAAATCGCAAAAGTATATCGATGCTAAAAGTAAAAAAGACATGAGAGCTAACGATGTTCTCGTTTTCCGTGATAATATGTACAATAGTTTATTGAAAAATAAACACAATGATTCATTGGCCAGATTGAAACTGCAGTTCATTCAATTGAGAAAAGAAATACCATCAGTAGTATGTTGTTGCTGTAAAGGTATATTCTTCGAGCATTCTGTTGTTCAATTGAATAGGCAAAAGATCATTAACAAAAGTGGAACTGAGTTTTTAATGAAAGTAACAAATTTTCCTTCTGATTATATATGCAATACATGTAAAAAATCAGCATATAGTAGTAAAATCCATAAATTATCTACAAGTAATGGGTTAAAATTCGTGGATATACCAAGAACTATCCAAGAACTTTCTGATCTTGAAGAAAGAATGGTGTCACCAGTATTGAGCTTTATGCAAATCCGCGCCTTGAAGCCGTATGCCTCAAATCCACAATGAGGATTAAAGGGAAGTGTGGTAAATATCCTTATTGATGTGAATGATATGCTGCAAGTATTACCACGTAATTTCAATGACATGCAAACAATTCAAGTAAAATTAAAACGTCATGTTCTTCATAAAAGCCATTTTATGTTCGAAGCAATTAGACCTGGAATGGTGTGCAAGGCACTTAAACACCTTATAAATACACCGTTATATAAAAAAAATGGCATTAAAGTAGACAACAAATACTTCGAGCGCTATGAAAATATAAATCTTTACGACGAAATCGATTTTATTGTCGACGAAAAAGATTTAAACGATATTGAATCTGAATTAGTAACAAAAAATTACAATAACAACAATAATGATGAGAAAAATGATACAAATAACATTGATATGCACCAAATTAATAATGATGAAGTTCTATTAATCGACAATAACACAAACATTACAGAAAGTCGTGGATCAGTAGTAAACGTGATTGCACCTGGTCAAAATAAACGGCCAATGCCGTGGCATAATGTTGAAGATTTAGATGAATTATGTTTTCCGAAAATATCTGGAGGATATTCGATAAATTTGCCAAAAATATAACTTGTATGGATCGAATCAAGTCAGAAGTAAGGCGTTACGATCGTCGATCGTGCATACCTTCCCGGGTCTTATTTATGGCTAAAAAAAATTTAGAAAAGAACTGTTTATTAAGCATTAATATATGTTTAAGAAAAACAACGAGAAATATGAATAAAAATTTGAATGCTGAAGATGTCTTAAATCCAGATAATATAGATGAAATTGTTAAATTTGATGATGGCTTTAGAATGTTCAAATACATTCGTTCATCTCCTGCTTTATGGGAAGCTAAGAAGAAAGAACTATTAGCTATGATTCGTCAACTAGGTAAACCAGCGTTTTTCTTAACATTATCAGCTGGTGAATCGCATTGGCCCGAATTACTCCAGACTATAATGAAATTTAGCTCAGAGAGTCACGTATTGAATATAAAAGAAGCTTACGAGTTAGATAACAATACTAAAACCACTTTGATAAGGAATGATCCTGTATCTTGTGTTAGATATTTCGATTATAAAGTAAGCAAATTTATGTGGTTGTTAAGATAAAAAAATAGTATATTCGGTACTTATATACTTGAAGATAGCTATGAACGTGTGGAATTTCAGCAACGTGGGAGTCCACATGAACATATGCTATTGTGGTTAAAAGATGCACCGAAATATCAGGAAAAAGATTGTAATAATGATGAAGTTATTAATTTCATCGATAAGTTTGCCACATGTAAAAATGATCAAAACAATCCTTATATTAAGTTTCAAATTCATAAACATTCGCATACTTGTTATAAAGGTAAGCGAGATAAAAAATGCCGATTCTATATACCATATCCAGTAATGAAGAGGACAATGATATTAAAGCCACTTGATAAAGGTGAAGTTGCCCCTAAATCTTACAAAGCTGTTGATGAATTAATGCGAAAATTTTATGCTAAAAGTCAGTTAGTTAAGTATGATGATATTTTAAAGAAACTTAAAATGACTGACGAAGAGTATATTCTTGCTGTACGCAGTACTCTCAAGCAGAGACGTATTTTTTTAAAAAGAACGAGTGATGAAGTACGTATTAATGCTTATAATAATGATATTTTACAAGAATTCGAATCAAATATTGATTTGCAATTCATACTCGATGAATATGCTGTAATAAGCTATGTTACAAATTATATTAGCAAAGTTGATGGTGGCTTATCTAAATTACTAAGAGAAGCTGCTGAAGACTGTGACGTTAATAATAAAAGCATAAAAGAAAAACTTCGCACACTTGCAAATGTATTTCTAAATAGTAATATAATGTCGGCACAAGAAGCTGCTTACCATGTATTATCGTTGTCATTATCGAAGAAAAGTCGTAAAGCAGTATTTATAAATACAAGTCCTATAAATGAACGAGTTTTGATGTTCAAATCAGAAAATGCTTTGAAATCTTTAAATAAAGACTCAACTGAAATTTATATGGCCGATATTTTCGAAAAATATAGTAGAAGAAACCGTAACCTCGATAATATTTGTTTAGCGGATTATGCAGCGAACTATAATAATACAAAAAATAAAGAGGGATCAAACAGTGATACAGAAATCAGTGATGTCGATAAAAAACGACAGGTATCAGCTATTATTAGATACCGAAGATATAAGTTAAAGCAAGATCCCGGCAATTATTATCGTGAACAAATATCATTGTTCATGCCATGGAGAAATGAAAAAGTAGAAATTGAAGATGTTTATTATGAAACAGTGTATAATAAGAATATAAAGATTATAACCGCTAATCGGGCAATGTTCTCTATTATTCCTGATGAAATAATTGGAAGAAGTGAACAAAGATAATTGTGACAAAGAAAATGATGTTGACGAAAATAATGATGGTTATGAACTGTCTAATGATCAACGTATTGATATTTTTCAACAAGCTGGTGATAAAAAAGTAAATCAAAATACAGTCAATAATTCAAATAACAAAATACGATACACAATGCCCTCTCGAGTACCCACAGAAGACCTTTACAATATGCTGAAAAATCTGAATACGAAACAAAAAGAAGTAGTAATGTATATCTTACATTGTTACAAGATAGGTAAAACTCCATTCCAAATATTTCTAAGTGGATCAGCTGGTTTCGGTAAAAGCACGGTCATAAATACATTATATCAATTAATAACGAATTATTTTGATAATTTGCCAGGTGGAAATAATGATAAAATAATTGTACTATTATGCGCTCCATCTGGTAAAGCTGCTTTTCTGATTAATGGTGTAAAATTGCATTCTGCACTTGCATTACCATGCAATTTATATGGTGTAAATATACCAGAACCATCAAGTGGTTTAGCCAACAATATACGAGAACAATTATGTCAGGTACAACTCGTCATTATAGATGAAATTTCAATGGTAGGCTCTACCGTACTAGGTTATGTAAATACAAGATTAAGACAAATAACTGGTGTCAATCAGCCATTTGGTGGACATCAGTACTTGCGGTCGGGGACTTAAATCAATTACCTCCTGTAAAAGATAAACCTGTTTATCAAGTTTCAAACCAAAATCAAATAGCGCCACTCATTAATATTAATCCTTTATGGGATCAATTTGACTTTTATGAATTAACAGAAATTATGTGTCAGAAGAATGATCTAGCATTTATCAATGCTCTAAATCATCTAGCTCTTACAACTATGAAAACTGATGACATAAATTTAATTAAATCTCGAGAAATAAAAAATATTAACCATATTCCAGAAACGGCCATACTCTTGTACGCTACTAATAAGAATGTATCATATTATAATGCTCAGAGAATTTCTCAATGTAAAAGTAAATTGTTCACTTCAACTGCTCAAGTTGTTTTCTCTGAAGACATAACCAAAGGTGAAAAAAAAATTATAATACGATCAATAAGTAAAAAATCAAACAACTTTGCAATTGAACTGCCTGATGTTATTCAATTAAAAGTTAACATTAAATATATGATAATTAAGAATATCGATGTGGAAGACGGTCTAGTAAATGGTGCTTGTGGTATTTTTAAATATATCGAATGTAAAGATGCTAACATACCATCTACACTATGGTTAGATTTTCATACACCAAGAGTTGGCATCAACATACGAGCTCGTTATCGTGATTACATGTTAAAGAATAATATAGATAATGTATTAACCCATTAACGCTGAGGTGATCAGAATTTTTGCTAACTTTTCAACGTGTTTATTTATTATGTTATTGGACCAATAAAATAATGCAATACCTCTAATCCTACGCAAAATTTGATGTTCTTTCAGAATCTGAGCCCAAAATTTCGATTAGACACCGAGAAAAAAAAAATGGTCGATCTAAACGTGAAAATTTTCGAAAAAAAATTGTTTTCGCATTTTTTTTCACAATGATACCGCAAAGGTATCGACTTTTTACTATGATCAGAGGTGATCATGGCACTCGAACATTAAGAGGAATTTTTTTCAGAAAATTTCATCGACGCGTTTCTTCAAAATGGCGGCGAGAATGAAAAAATTTTATAAAAATCTTAATCTATCGTTTTCTTAAAAACTATAAACTTTAGAAAAATATTTTTAAAAAGAAAAATGTTTTTAAATTAGTCAAAGAACACTCTTAAATTTTTTCAGAATTTTTGAATCCAATTTTTGATTTTCGAAAATTTCAAAAAATCCAATTTTTCAAACATATCTAAAAAATTTAAGAGTGTTCTTTGACTACTTTGCTGATTCTGTACATATACATTGTTTTTTTCTACTCTTAGCATTACCCAGAGACAACGGCGTGGACGTGGTAGAACTTTGTCTCTTTTGGGGTGCTTGTTTTTCGTGAGTCCCCTTGCCTCTCACGTTTCGGGGTGCTTTTTTCCGTGAGTCCCCTTGCCTCTCACTTTAACATTTCTTTCATCAGTGCTTCTTTGCTCAACAATTATTGCATACATACAGATTGCATTTTTCACAATAGATCCTTGTTGTTATTGGACATTTTTCAGTTGAACAATTTTTTAATTTGTCCCTATTAGATCGTGTATGAACTGTTTTACTTGTTTGATTTTTTTGAATATAATATTTAGCAATCGAAATAGTTAACTTTTTTATTCCAACTTTTTTCTTTCCATCGCGTGTAGCATTGAAAATTACGGGGGAATTTGTAATGGATGCCTGTATAAATCTTATAAAAACGACCCATGTCCATTTTTTGGAACGTATACTTGGAAGTACATTATTGCAGTGTCCATCATGCACGTCAACACCGCCCATAAATTTGTTGTACAAATGAAAAGCTTGCGGAAAAGCTAAATCAGTTTTGGATCGAGCCTCTGAACTATATCTTCTCGAAGTTGATAGTGGACTTACACCTGCAGCAGTTGAAGCTATTGAAACGGGCTTCGAATCCATAGTGATGAAATTTATGCCACTATTTTGATCATGTTTTACAATATAAGTACCTCGTGGAGCTTTCTTTTCAAGTATATTCTTTTCTTTGACTCGATTGTCTCTTATAGTGCCAGTGCATTTCAAACGTAATTTTTGCAAGTGTAAAATCAAATCCATATTTGTAAAAAAATTATCAAAGTACAAATGAAATGCAGGGATTTTATTATAATTTATTAGTCGAAAAAAAGGTTCTAATAAATGCAATACTACACGAGTACCTAAAGCACATTTTGCTAATTTGTTTCCGGTTTGGGAATTTTTACCGCAATATAGATCTAAATTTAGTAGATAGCCGTCTGAAGTGCATAAACCCCAAAATTTCAAACCAAACCTTATTGGTTTTCCTCGAATAAATTGTTTCAATACAGTTTTTACATAAGACTTGGCCATCATTTCATCAATAGATATAGAAGTTTTCCATATTCCGAACTTTAGGAGGTTGTTTTGGAAAAGTTTCAACATCGAACGAACCCGCCACCCTTTATCGTTTAGATCCTCGTCTTTAGCTTTTGAATATTTTATTTTAGACTTGATTTCTTCAAACTTATCACGAGTCATTGCAGAAGAAACAATTTCACTAGATAAGAATAGATCAAATGACCAATAATCTCTCTGAGACTTTCTTTTATTGAATGAACTGAAAATAACTATACCTATAAAAGTGTCAAGATCTTGTAATTTCACATCATAATTATTCTCTTTAGACGCATCAATTATATATTGTTTCATTTCAATATTTGGTATTGTGAACTCATGTTCAGAATCTGAATCAGATATCGAATCACAATCAGAATCAGAATCATCGGAGCCTGAATTGTCTGCATTCAGAATCGATATGTTTTCGTCGGAATCACTATCCGAATAATCTGATTCATACTCTGCATGCGATGAAGCAGAAGATCTTGAACGTTTTCGTGACATAACAAATGTATTGAAAAAGTGAAAACCAATATTTGAATTATATGCTTTACTTATAATTCATGTACAAATTGTATAGAACATATGTGTCTATGCACTAATGAAAGGATGTATGAGTTTGTTTGTGAATTTTGTAGTGGTAGATAGAAACAAAATTTTATGTACAATTTAACAAAAATTTTTTTCTCTAAACATATAGACTGGAGACGCGTTGGCTCAGTCGTCAAGGCGTCGGATTGCTAACCGGAAGGTTCGTAGTTCGCGAATCCCTTATCTGACGATTTTTCGAGCAGGCACCACTGTTTACAAACAATGTGCCTTTTTCAACGCGTGCTCGTCGTAGCTAGAGATGCGATGCTCTTTGTGACCGCACGTTGATCGCCACGGCTTCGAATAAGGGCAGGCGTGAATCTGACCAATTCACCCTGAATCCACTCCGGTCAAAAAATACATTACAACCCATAGCTCTTAGGAGTAGACTGTGATGTACGGCTATAGATCTTTCGAGATCTGAACGCCACACATTTATTTTATTTATTTAAACCTATAGACTTAACGAAAAAATTTTTAAGAACAAAAAAGTCTTGAAATTAGTCAATATACACTCTCAAATTTTTTCAAAAATTTTTTAGATATGTTGTGAAAAATGCAATCTATATGTATGCAATAATTGTTGGGCAAAGAAGCACTGATGAAAGGAATGTTAAAGTGAGAGGCAAGGGGACTCACGAAAAAAAGCACCCCGAAACGTGAGAGGCAAGGGGACAAGGGGCAAATTCTACCACGTCCACGCCGTTGTCTCTGGGTAATGCTAAGAGTAGAAAAAAACAATGTATATGTACAGAATCAGCAAAGTAGTCAAAGAACACTCTTAAATTTTTTAGATATGTTTGAAAAATTGGATTTTTTAAAATTTTCGAAAATCAAAAATTGGATTCAAAAATTCTGAAAAAATTTAAGAGTGTTCTATGACTAATTTAAAAACATTTTTCTTTTTAAAAATATTTTTCTAAAGTTTATAGTTTTTAAGAAAACGATAGATTAAGATTTTTATAAAATTTTTTCATTCTCGCCGCCATTTTGAAGAAACGCGTCGATGAAATTTTCTGAAAAAAATTCCTCTTAATGTTCGAGTGCCATGATCACCTCTGATCATAGTAAAAAGTCGATACCTTTGCGGTATCATTGTGAAAAAAAATGCGAAAACAATTTTTTTTCGAAAATTTTCACGTTTAGATCGACCATTTTTTTTTTCTCGGTGTCTAATCGAAATTTTGGGCTTAGATTCTGAAAGAACATCAAATTTTGCGTAGGATTAGAGGTATTGCATTATTTTTTTGGTCCAATAACATAATAAATAAACACGTTGAAAAGTTAGCAAAAATTCTGATCACCTCAGCGTTAATGGGTTAACACCAATAGAAAGGATATCAAACTAGTGTGGCACAAGATGATAAATATAAAATTTTGAGAAATCAATTTCCTATCATACCTGCAGAGGCAATAACTATTCATAAAAGTCGAGGTCAAACATATGACAAAATATGTCTAGATTTTACTGCTCAAGAGAGGCGAACATTATCGATGTTGTATGTTGCCCTCAGCCGTGTCACCAAATTGAGTGGACTATTTATAATTGGTAAATTCAAGTACCAAATGTTTCTCAAAATTCAAAGGTTGTAAATTCAGCGCTTGTTGAATTAGAACGTCTAAGATCTAACAAATCGTTGAAACTGTCATACAATAACTTAGAGACCGTCATAGGAACAAAAATAGTGTATCAAAATGTCGGTACATTACGAAAGAATCTAAGTTATATAATTTCTGATACATGGTATTTGCGAGCGGATATCTTAGTATTTAGCGAATCTTTGACTGTGAGAAGCGATGTAGTTGACATTGAAAATTTTAATATTATTTTAAGAATCGATCATGATAAAAATAATCATGGACTAACATGCTATGTAAAGAATGGTGTACAGTTCACAGTATTATCATCAAAACATACTTATAGTAGTAAGGGGCATGTGCAATTATTTGCATTAAAAGTCGGAAATTAGTATTTGATTAGTGGTTACAAATCATCTAAAGCAACAACAATTATGTTCAAGAAAACAATCGATTACATTTTACAAAAATTGCCTTCCAAAAGTCTTATCCTACTAATGAGAGATTTCAATTATGACATTATTAATTATAATAACAAAAAAAATAATTTCCTGATCAATTGTTTAGAACGATATCAATTATTGTCGAATTTGCCACCAGATAGCATTACTACGTCATTGAATACACAAATTGATGTCATTTTTTCAAATATTCATAACTTACAATGTGGAGTATATGAATCATATTTCACCTATCATAAACCAATATCTGCTGTTTATAATGATAATATTATTGTTCATGCCACTGACAATCCTAACAGCACTAATGTGAGTAGCCCAATTACAAATAACAATTGTAACGAAATGACAATCAGAAACGATATTAGCATGGAATATGATAATGAAAATATCAAAGATCCGTTTCCAATGGATATTGATAATAACGATATAGATGATAAGCAAACTAAAAGCATACTTAGTAATGATTCTATTGTACCAAATAATATTGAGAATATCTATGACAATATAGATGATAATAACGTACCATATGCTTTTGATATTCCAATCGCAGAATGTCAAGAAGTGTCTCATTGTAGATTTTATTTATCTGATAAACATATCAATTTATTTCATGAAATAATGAATAGAAAATTAACTGCCCACGGTGTATATAATTTCGCACAAGATGTAGGATACGTAGGTGCATTTTTACATAATATACAAGAAATACCTAGATCTGAAAATAATATACAGATTATTTATAGCGGTAATATTGGTGTCGACATTGTAGGTCACTGGATTTGTACAAAATATGACGGTAATGGCAACGTACACATCTACGACAGTTTAAATGAGAATTACTAGGAAAAAGATCAAATCGATTACTTAAATACCCTGTATAGATTTAATAAAAGGTTTATATTCCATAAAGTACAGGAACAAAATAATGGTATAGATTGTGGAGCATTTGCAATCTATTTTGCAACATTATTGTATTATAAAAAAAAACCAGAAAACCGAATGCGATATAATGTTCCAATTATGCGTAATCATATAGTTAAAATGCTGCTGAATAAAAAATTACTACCCTTTCCAAATCATGGATATGAAAAATAATTTAACAATAATATTTAATAATACACTTACAGTATGCTTGTAATCACTGAACATTCACTACTAAATACTAGCTACTATTCAGTACTAGTTTTTGTTTATTATCCTAGACAACCATGACACAGTAATAGTATAATGTCACAAGATAGTAGCAGAATGAGCACACAACTTCACGGCTGCTCTTACGGCCTTGAATTAATAATAAATAAATGCGAAAGCCTACTCTAGAATGAATTGACAGTTACTATTATCGGCGTAAAAAGTATAGGCCCCTCACTTTCAAAAGCGATATAAAAAAAAATAATAATCTCATTAAGTTGCGTGAGGAATCAATGGAAAGAGAAAGATTTTCTTGAAAAGAGTTACAGATTTTTGAAGGTGAGAAAATCATGTTTTCTGTACCTTCTGCTCTTAAATTGATGCTCTGATAATTGCCCGCGAGCTAATTCACGGTTAATAATTATTTCAAGTAGATGGAATTATAGATCAGACTATTCTCTATTAGTCTGCAAATTTTTTTTCCTTAATATTAATATTGAAAAAAGTTACAGATTTTTAAAGGTGAGAAAATTATGTTTTCTTTTTCTTATTTTCTGTACTGGATGCTTCCGTGCAAGTTGTGTCTATCTTCTTTTGCCCCTTAAATATTTTACCTATTTTACGCCCTTCTGTGTGTCATTCTTTTATGATGTTTGTAAAAAAATTTAGTTTTTTCCTTACTTTTATATGTTTAAGCTTATATATGAGAAGAAAAGGTTTACGATGGATTATCCTTGCCGTTAATGACTGTCATAAACACCTGCATGATTTTCTAAATGTTATGCATTTTCGCGGTTTCTTTTCTTTTGCTATCTATTATTCGCGATACATTCTCTATAATTTTTTTTCTTTCATGTCGATGTTGTCTCATTTTTCTATCATCATTTGGTGCCGAGATATTGTCCTCTGATATTATTTGTTGTAACTTTTTTGTTTATTATAAAAAATTTTTTTTTCCAACTTAATTTTATTTTTAAACGTCTTCCCTAACTACGATAAAATTTTCAATTCGATCTCTACATTTTTCGCATTGCTACGATCGTGTAAACTTCCCTCATGAAAAATTGACCGCTAGAAACATGGTTTTTTACTCTAAAAAATTCTGTAACTCGCGAAGTTTTTAATTCATTGCATTGAAATTTTCAGAGAAGTTGTAGAATCGGTTTTTTCTTTCCATTGATTCCTCACGCAACTTAATGAGATTATTATTTTTTTTTATATCGCTTTTGAAAGTGAGGGGCCTATACTTTTTACGCCGATAATAGTTACTAGTCACTAGTTACTACTGTATACAATCTAAACTGGGATTACTGGAAAAACGTGAATTTTCCAGTAATTTGTCCAAAATACATAATACTTTTTTTTTGTATTTTTGTTATAGGTTTATCTTATCATCGAGGAAGCACCAGCACTGGTACAAAAGAAGATTAGAAGAGCGGTTGTAAATATATGTTGTCAACAGGTTTCTTTAAAAAATTTTATCCCTTTCCCCTTCATTCGTATTGGTTAATATCTATTTATATACTGCTATTGTTGTTTTCTTTTGATACATCTTATTTTAAAATAGAAGTAGACGTTGAAAAACGGTACTTCACTAATCGAGAACTCCTTCACGCATGCCGACGAGTCAACTTCAATTCTGGCACCGCCACACTCTTTATTCTATTCGTGAATTATTCAACAAACCTCAGTACTAGTCTTTCTGTCTTGTTTTGAGGTTACTAAAAAAAAACTTCTAGCAAT